GCAGCTCCCTGATGCGTTCATCTCTGGGCAGGCTCCACTCTGCCTCCTTGGGCCAGGGGAACAGACTCTTTGCCTCCTCCCCCGCCTGGCACACCCCCTCCCCACTTCATCTCACTCTTCCGGGGCGCCTCCAGTTGGGGCTGCAGACCTCGGCATCTCATCAGCGGCCTCTCTGTCGCCAGATTCCTGCTAAAGTGCCTTGATTGCATAATGTCTATTTGCATAATGTAAATTGCAATCTCCTAGCTCAGGAGGCAGGAATCACAGAACAGCCATTATTTTTTACCACTCCACAAAAATTCTACATTTAGAAAGCAGATTTGCAGCTCAGAAAGCCGTATAAATCTGAATCCACCAGAAACGCCATTAAATCACACCAATTAAGCTGGACCAACGAAGAGCCCCTGTCACTGCGCTGTGTACACTCAAGGACTACCAGCCCAGATGGAGGCCACAAGAAACTGGAGGCTCTGGCAGCGGGGCTAGGAGCAGGAGCTGAAAGAGGCAGGAAATTCTGTCTTACACACCTTAGTACACACCCGCAAGCATAAGCTCCATCAATACCTGGTCAAACATGGAGGGTAGTGGGAGGAACTAGTCTGTTTTTTTCTAGGTTTATTGCCTGTTTTCTTGTGGGAGTGCTGTCTGTCTTCAGACTTTTAATTTATGGAGGGGAGAGAGTATGTGAGGAAGAAAGTAGGTGCTTCAGCAAAAGCAATGGGGAGACCCAGAGTGTTTCACATGGGGTAAAACATTCAGCCTTTTAGTGACTCTTTAATGACCTTTTCTCTCTTCTCCCAAGTCTCCTCCAGTCAACCGAAAGAAAAAAAAAGAGGACAAATCCTGCTTAGACTGGGTTGGGCTGGCTGGATTCTGAACTCCTTTTCAGAGCTGTTTTCTAGGGGTCACTGGGGAGAGGGGTGAGTCACAAGGTCTCTAGAAAGGGGGCATTCCCTTGGACAACCACCTAAGACTCCAGCTTTTCCACAGCAGCACACACGGTTACTCTTTTGCCTCTTTATTGCTCATTCAATATTCATTTGTCAAAGGGCAAGACGCTAATGTGTATTATTAAAATATCAATAGTTTATGAACTATTATGGAGAGTACAGTTAAAGGCAAGATTCTTGACCATCTCTGTCTGAAGCAATGGAAAGGAATAACTTTTCTTTCCAACTCCACTTTTTATTTATGTACTGGGTGAATGAAGGGGTAACCATTACTGAGTACCTACTGTGTGCCAGGAGGTGAGGGCACATGTTAGATTTCACTGAGTCCCCACAACAGTCCTGGGAAGTAGACACAATCCCATTTCCATTCTAGATATGAGGAATTCAGAGACCAAAGAGATGTGTCCATGATCACAAAGGTGCTAAGTCACAAGGCTGGGATTCAAACCTGAGCTCTGGACTTCTTTTGTTTTTTTTTTTTTTTGAGTTGGAGTCTCACTCTGCCCAGACTGGAGTACAGTGGCACGCTCCCGGCCACCGCAGCCTCGACCTGCTGGGCTCCGGTGCTCCTTCTGCCTCAGCCTTCCAAGTAGCTGGAATTACAGGCATGCGCTACCATGCCTGGCTGATTTTTTGATTTATTGTAGAGATGAGGTCTCGCTGCCTGGGCGGGTCTTGAACCCGCAGGCTCAGGCAATCCACTCACCTCAGCCTCCCAAAGGTGCGGGATTACGGCTGAGCCACCGAGCCCAGCTGAGCTCCCCACCCCTATCCTGCCCCCTACCCACCATGCTACAGCCTTGAAAATCTGAAAGAGCTTTATGTTTATATTTGTTTCCTTCACCTGCCCAAGTTAAATATTAATTTCCTGACCTAAGTTTCACGAAAGGAGAAAGAACAGGAACTCAAACTATACTTTCATCCAGACTCAACTTCATAAAGTGGGTCCACTTAGATAACACCCAAGCAGTTCCCAGCATCTTATCTGCATGTTTAGTATCTGAGAATTAAAGGTGATATTGGGGGATGATGTCATCAGACATTCCCACTTTACAAGGGAGTAAACTGAGGTTCTTGGAACCACACAAGGAAGTGGTGTAAGTCTCTAGAATAGAGAGTTGTAAGTTGAATTTCAACTCTGTTACAGACTTACTCTGTTACTTCCTAGAGTATTTCTCCCTGTGCTCTGAGCCTCCTTTCCTTTCCTACTATACAGAGAAAATAACAGCATCCTATTAAACAGTATGAGGGTTCAATGAGAAAATATACCCCAAGGGCTTAGCATAGTGCCTAGCATATAGTAAGTGCCCAATACATGTTGGCTACTAATATTAATATTAAGCTAATGTGGCAGAACCTAAGACTCTCCTTCTAACTCCCCACACCTCTTCACCAAGATCAAACCCACTCACCCCTCTCTACCCTGACCCCTCCCTTTTGGCATATGGGAAGATAGGCTGGTTTTATTTCCACTCTTTGGTTGCCTGGGTTTTTTCCTATCTCTTTATATCACAAGAAGGCATTCAGGGCACTCAGGTCCTCTTCCAAATGTTAACTGCATCTGGGTCAGGGCAAAGAAAAGGGAGCCTGGTTCTTGAATGGCACAGACTCCCCCAGTCATGGTATGTGGCAGAGGGGAAGGAAGAGGGTAGAGGATGTGAGGTCAGGGAGGAAGATCTGTTCAGAATTCCCCAGGACCCAGTGCAGCCCCTTGTAGCATCTTAAAACCTTATCTTTGTCTGAAACCTCACTTGAAAGTTGAAGCTTGAAGGCCATGTTGATGGAGGTATGGGAAGCCCTGATGTGAATGAAGGGCTCAGGGTTTGTGAATCCTTAGTCCCAGTCCAAGACTCCTCCACACTTGACATTTCATTCAGGGTGTGGGTTGCAAACTAGATCCACTCTTGCTGAGATGGACCATGAAGAAGGGGTTTCTACTAGCTGAGTACTCCCTAACACCAGCATATCCTGCCCAGGAAGGAAGCCTCACCTGGCCTCTGAAAAAGACATTCTGTGAATTAAGAGAAGGTTTGATTTATCTATGGCAGGGATTGCCAACAGCTGGCATCAAAGCCCAGAATTACAAGTGATGAGTCTTTGAATGATTCCAGCACCTAGCTTTTGAGTTACCCCCATTGAGATTCCATATCTGGTGGCATGGAGACAAGCTGTCCTCACCATGCCCTGTCTGAATTCCTGACCAGCAGAATATATGAGCAATATAAATGTCACTAAACCGTTCTGTTGAGGGTGATTTGTTACACAGCCTGGTAACTGGGACACCCCTGGAAGTAAATTGGGGTGTTTGCTGTTTCCCTCTCAAATCCAGTCCTCACTGGTCTTCTCTCTGAAACTTCAGACTTTTATCTTCCTTCTGCAACTGGTACCATCATTCTGAGCCTGCCCCTGCTCCTCCCCTTCCTCCTCCTCCAAAAGGCAGGATCCTCATGCCTGTCACAGCCCTGGTAAACCACTCCCTGAAAGATCATTTGACTCTTCCCATTTCAGAGCCCTGAGACCTGAAGAAATGAGCTTCCCTGGTTTCTCACTGCAGATCCAACAGTGTGTCCCTGCGAGGGAGCTTTCCCTGGGAGTGGGTGGCCCAGAGTTGAGGTGCCCAGCTACCCTCAGGGTCGGGGGAGGGAGTAATGTGCAGACCTATTTCCTCCACACTTTCAGCTCTCATTAAGGTTCACGCTCAGCTTGCTCCTCATACTTGACTTGAGTTATGAGGTCCCTCTAACCTCTGATGCGAGGAGACATCGATTCTCACAAAGGTCATTATCTTCTGGTCTGGCTCCCCTCCGCCCACCCTGGGCCCCACCTTCTAGGCAGGCTTTCCTGGAACAGCATGGAGGGAGGCCCCCTTCCCCCGCATTCCCATCCCTCAGCCAGGGGATCCGACCACTATATAGAGCAGGGCTGCAGAGGAGGTGCCCTGGGAGCCCAGGCCCGTCAATCACAGAGGCAACCGGCACTGAATCGCAGGCCATTAGGCGGGAGGGCCGGCGCCCGGCTCACTCACCAGGCAGCCATCGGCAGGATGTTAGCCGATCACAGGGCGGCCATTCTTATGATTTATTCAAATACTCATTACAGTCAATCTATTTTTACACAGAGGTGAAGATGTGCACTGATAATGGTTAATCATTTATAATTCCATGGACTGGTTAGAAACCAATGTACTATCAAAGTCGCCTCAGCAGCAGCTCAGTCTCGGGTAGGCCCAGAAGCGGGTGGAGAAGCCATGCTGGCCCAGGGCAACTCATCTAGCTAACATTTACTAAACAGCAACTAGGCTGAGGGTATGGACGGCAAATGAAGAAATGGGGATCCCAGCTTTTACCTTCCAGGAGCTCACGGCCTAGCTGGAGAGAGCACAGTGACAAGGAGGGGGCCACGTGTGAATGCTGCAGAATTTCAGGAGAAGGAGGAATCATTTGTAGGTGGAGCTAGCGAAGAAGGCTCTACAGGAGAGGTGGGACTTAGGCTAGGTCCCACAGGTGGGTAGACTTTTGCCAAATGGGGAGACCCAGTATAAGCCTAAATATGAGGTCGAGTTATTACTGGCCTGATGGAAGGGAAGTGGTCAGCAGCATTTCTTTTTTCCTCCCCCATACCTCCCCAGAAATAACCAGATATAGAAGCAAGTGTGGGCTATAAACTTGGCCCAGTTTTGTTACTTATGTTGCCACTTCCTCCTCTCACTGCCTCCCTAGCTGAATCCACAGGCAATAGTGGCTGGGGTCTGGATTGGCCTTGCAAACTCAAGAGCTTCCTTCTCTAGCACTCATGACACACGTTACACATCAAATCCACCTTAATGCACAATCAATACAGTCTAATTAAATAGGATGTCATATTACAGGGCTTCTTTGTCACATTCAGACATAATCTAATTAGAGCTCCACTGTATTTTACATTCTGACTAGCTCATTGTTGAATGTTTCTCTTGCACAATGCATGGCTGTTAAAGATCAGGTTCAGGGCTGGTCTTTAACCCATAACCTTATTGAGTCAGCATGGAAAACGCCAATCAAAGTTACTTACAGTTCACAGCCCCTTTTTTAGTGAGCAGCATGGAGGACAGAAAGCCTCAGAGTCTTGCTCCAGACTTCACCTGTCAATAAAAAAAAAACATCTTTATAAACTGTGTAAGATTCTACCGGGAGTGAGAGCCAGGGTGGGGATAGTGGTAAACCCAGAGGTGGGTCTGGCTTGGGAGCAAAGCCAAGGCTGGCAGCCTTGTGCCCACAGTGCTAAGTGGGAAAGTTTCCTAGCAAGGGACTCCTGGTGTACAATGATTATTGGTTAGAGCTAACCAGGACACAGAGAGAGGATCATGCTTTCCCCTACCTGCTTGGTGCCTCCATTTCTTAAGAATTTTATCCCCTTCCCTACAGGAATCCCACAGAAATAAAGGCTCATGGCTGTTGAGTGCCCTGAGCTGACCAAGGCAATAATCATTTACTAGTGCCTCCTGCCTAATGGAAGACCCCATGCAGGGGGACGGAGCTAAGGGCCCCTGTGAAAGTTTGCAGTCTAGATGGAGAAGAGTGCAAAAAGTAAGCAAACAATAAAACTGATCCCATTGTTATGAAAGTCTTGCTGCAGAAGAGAACTTTCAAATAAAGGTAAAGAGTCTAGTTGAGTGTAAAGGAAAATGTGCATGCAGAAGAATGATGGGGGCAAGGTTGGAAAGACTTTTTAAAAACTGATTGCTTTTAATTGTCTTTCTAGGATAAACAACATAAGGCAAGACTATACATGAAGTCGTGCTAAACTTTATGGAAGAGATGCTCAGTCTCTCTCCAAAGAGACACGAAGTCTCAAGAGTTGAAGCAGTCAAGGGAGGTTTCATGAGGAGGTAGAATTTGAGTGGGGTCTTGGAGGATTGGACAGGCAAGAATTGGCTGGTAAAAGGGAGAGGGGACATTCCAAGGAAGGGGAACCATCTGAGCAAGGGCCAGGAAGGGGAAAGCACAGAGGGTTCTGGGACAACACAAAGGTTGGTCTGCCTAGGAAAGAATAGAAGAGGGAATAATGCCAGGTAAGCAGGGTGGGGCCAGGCATCCAGGGCTTTGAGTATCAGGCAAGAGAGGTCAGGCTGGCCTGTGAGCACATAGAGCTACTGAAGGCTTTTCAACAGGGAAATGACATAATGTAGAACACCCCTCATCCCCTTTAGTATTTTCCGTTTAATTAAAACAAGACAGAAAAAATCTTCTTAGAAGAAGGTGGAATCTCAGTTAGAAGATTCAGGCATAGGATGTAGTGAGATGTGCTCATGGAAATAAATTGTCCCTCGTGTTCGTAATGATGTCCTCCGTGCGAAGGCGTTTCCTCTGGGGCTGTCCACTAATACCTGCAAGATCAAAGTTCATGCTGATGGAGGTGCCCCCAGAGACAAGACCTCCAGGCTGCCAGTCATTGAGGACTAGGGTCATGTCTTCTGCACCTTAATATTCCTAGAACCTAGCAGAGTGTCTAGTATGTGTTGGTTCTCAGTAAATATTTGCTGAAATGTTAAACAGTGGACCCTGCTCATTCCAACCAGAATCCACAACCAGTATCTCAGAACCAGCCCTTAGCTAACAATGGGTTCCAGCTTGAATGGTTCTAAACTACTTACACATGACTACTGAGCATTACATACACTCAGTATATGAAATCTTTAATTATATTATATGGAGGGCAGGCATGGTGGCTCATGCCTGTAATCCCAGCACTTTGGGAGGCTAAGGCAAGAAGATTGCTTTAACCTAGGAGGTCAAGACCAGCCTAGGCAACATAGTGAGACCTCATCTCTACAAAAAAATCAAAAAATTAACTGGACTTGGTGGTGTGCCTGTAATCCCAGCTACTCAGGGGCTGAGATGGAAGGATCACCTCACCTGAGGCCAGGAGGTTGAGGCTGTAGTTAGTCATGATCATGCCACTGCACTCCAGTCTGGGTGACAGAGTGAGACTCCGACTCAAAAAATAAAAAATAAGATAAAATAATAAATAAATAAATTACATGGAACTGTATTCTCTATCTCTGCCCTCTGGGGCACCAGTGACTTGGAAGAAGATATGGTGGGCTTTCTGCGTGCCCATGATGCAAAGCTGGGAAGCTGTGCTGGAGAAGCAGATTCTAGATTGCTATCAAGCTTCTAAAAAGCTGAAAAGACAGGCCAAAACCAAAATGTTTTTCTTTTCATAGTTTTTATTTCTTGTACAATAACATCATGACAACCACATATGAAATAATTTTAAAAATAAAGAAAAATTGCCCACAATCCCATTACTCTAAACCATCAAATTATTATATCCTATGTCCACATTCAAATCTACTTTTTAAAAAGAATCTTTTGTAGAAAGCAATTTGACAGGAGTAAAGACACCAACTCATGCTCTTACACGCAAAAATCTACTGCAAAAAAAAGCCGAATGGGGTGACTTGGGTTGGGGAAGAAACACCTGGGTTATTTGAGTTAAATGGAAGCGCAAAATGATGTGAGCTGCTGCCAGACTCACTAATTGTGATCTTAGGTTGTATTAATAGCCATACAATGCCCAATTAATGAGTGAATAATTTCCTCCACGCCAGACTTACCAGTCTACATTAGTTCTATCTGCAGTTCTAGCATCACATTTTAAGAACTTTGATGGTGATGAAGACGAGAGAGGCAAGAGAAGATGTCTAGTGGTTAAATGTCTAGTGGTTCAGGCCATGCTTGATGGCGCAGCCTATAATCCCAGCACTTTGGGAGGCCGAGGCAAGTGGATTGCCTGAGCCTGCGGGTTCGAGACTCATCTGGACAACTTGGCGAGACTTTGTCTCTACAATAAATCAAAAACTAGCTGGGCATGTTAGCATGCACCTGTAGTTCCAGCTACTTAGAAGGCTGAGGCGGAAGGATCATCGAGCCCAGCAGGTCGAGGCTGTGGTGGCCAGGAGCATGCCACTGCACTCCAGTCTGGGTGATGGAGTGAGACTCCAGCTCAAAAAAAGAAAAAAATGTCTAGTGGTTTGTAGAAAACGATTGGAAGAAGATATGGTGGTCTTTCTGCGTGCCCATGATGCAAAGCTGGGAAGCTGTGCTGGAGAAGCAGATTCTAGATTGCTATCAAGTTTCTAAAAAGTGAGCAAAGCAGCACACTATACAGGTTTCAATCCCAGCTTGATCATGGGCAAGTTACTTTAACTCTTCTGTGCTTCAATTTTTCATCTGGAAAATAGGGCTAATACAAGTTCTGCCACTGAAGGTGGTCGTGAGGACTGAATGACTTAATATACTATAAGGTGCTTAGAATAGTGACTCATAGCTGGGCTTGGTGGCTCAGTCTATAATCACAGCACCTTGGGAGGCCAAGTCGAGTAGATTGCCCTAAGCCCACGGGTTCAAGACCAACCCGGGCAACTTGGTGAGACCTTGTCTCCACAATAAAAAAAAAAATTAGCCAGGAGTGGTAGCATGGGCCTGTAGTTCCGAATACTTGGAAGGCTGAAGCAGAAGGATCGTTGGAACCCAGCAGGTCAACACTGGGGTGGCTGTGAGTGTGCTACTATACTCCAGCCTGGTCTACAGAGTGAGATTCTGACTCAGAAAAAAAAACCAAAAGAAAAAAACAAAACAAAACAGTAACTCACACAAAACAAGCACTTACTGAATGTTAGCTATTATTGCTGTTTTTGTTTTATTATTATTATTTTTTAGTCAGAGTCTCACTTTGTCGCCCAGATTGGAGTGCAGTAGCATGCTCATGGCCACCCCAGCATCAACCTGCTGAGCTCAGGCAATCCTTCCGCCTCAGCCTTCCAAGTAGCCAGAACTACAGGCGCCCACTACCACACTCGGCTAAATTTTTGATATATTGTAGAGACGAGGTCTCACTGACTTGCCCAGGCTGGTCTCGAACCCCTGGGCTCAGGCAATCCTCTTGCCTCAGCCTCCCAAAGTACTGGGATTATGGGCTTGAGCCACGGCATCCGGCCTGTTGCTGTTTTTAGTGTTATTAGGAGGCCGTGAGTAGAATATATGGTAGAAGAAACTAGAGATGTATCTTCATCTGTCCCTCTCTAAAATTACCCATAGGTCCTTGCTCTAATGTCTAAAGCAACAGGATCTCTCTCCCATGTGGTAGCCCTCCAAATATTTGAAGAAGCTATGTGAAAGAGGGACTGTGTTACTCTAGAGGATGGGATTAGGACTAACTGTAGATGTTAGAGGAAGCCAATCTGCAGTTCACTGTAAGAAAGAACTCTCTGGCAATGAGCACCATCCAAAAATGAGCTAGACTTCCTTGGAGAGCAGTGAATTACCAACACTGGAAGGAGAATCCTGCACTAGGTGAGAAGCTGCTCCTAAGCATGTTTCCCAGATTTGGGTTTCAGCCATTAGTAAAATGTTGAAAAAGATGAGTAGACTGATAGAGTTGACAAGTTTTTAAAAAAAAAATTATTATTATTTTTTGAATTGGAGTCTCACTCTATCACCCAGGCCAGAGCACAGTGGCAAGCTCACAGCTCAAGCGATCCTTCTGCATCAGCCTTCCAAGTAGCCGGAACTACAGGCACGCACTACCATGCCCAGCCAATTTGTTGATTTATTGTAGAGATGAGATCTCGCCAAGTTGCCCAGGCTGTTCTCGAACCCGTGGGCTCAGACAATCCCCTCATCTCGGCCTCCCAAAGTGGTGGGATTATAGACTTAAGTCACTGTGCCTGGCCCTTTTATTTTATAAAACATTCATAGTATCTTCTCTCAACATCATTTCATGAAATAATTCAACCCTCCAAAGTGAAGATGGCAAAAATCTCACAATAGAAGGCCATCCTTTGCAACTTTGAATTGATAAATAGAGCACCATTCTCTCTCTCTCTCTCTCTCTCTGTCTCTGTCTTTCTCTCTCTCTCTCTCTCTCTCTACACACACACACACACACACACACACACACACACACACACACACACGTGTGTGTGTGTACCTGCAATCTCTCCACATTGTCTTTATCTTTCATTCATCACCATGTACCAGTAGAAGAGTCTTCCTGGACTGGCACCAGCCCATGGATGTCTGCTAGGGAGTTATGCATGTTCATGATATTTTAGTGCCATACAAAGCCAGTAGTTTGTGA